AGAATAGATTGTATTTTGAAGACATTGATTACTATGAAAGCAATGTTTTTTGTAACGGTATATATAAGGGGGTTGTAAGATAGAATAAAGAAGAAGAGTAAAGAATAAGCAGTAAAGAATGAGAAGAGAGTAAAGAATGAGAAGTAGAGTAAAGAATGAGCAGGAGAGTAAAGAATGAGCTGTAAAGAATGAGCAAGGAGAGTAAAGAATGAGCAGTAGAGTAAAGAATGAGAGGAGAATAAAGAACAAGAGGAGAATAAAGAATGAAAGGAGAATAAAGCATGTAAGAAGATTTTGAATTTATCACGACCCATCAACTCTGTGTGATTTCCTTTTTCCGCCAACGCTGCACACCCCTTCGGAACCCCTGAATAAGTTTGCTGAGGCTGGCCCCTGGCAGAGGCCCATGGACTGAGAAAGACCATGTGCCTGTGAGCAGCAGGCTGGCTTGCAAAGTGTGCCCTTTGGACATTTACATGAATATATATTTTATGTTTTACATATATACATTAAAAAAAGGGAATCGAGGAAAATACTGTTAACTGATGGTACGTAATCAGAATTACAAATCATTGCAATCAAACAAAATATGATTTCTTTAATGCAAAACTGATGATCAGCCCTGCAAACTTTCACTCAATTCACAATAAAAACTATAATAATAATAAAATTAAATTTTAAAAAGGAGAGGCAGACTACTTCTGAGTATTTTGTCACTGAAAATCTTATGAATAGCAATGGAATACTGCTAGCACCAGATTACTGAATATTGAAACATGATGAAGAATGTCAGAATACTATCAAATATAGTACCAGAAGATGAGCCCCTCAGGTTGGAAGGCACTCAAAAAGTGTGACTGGTATTGGTCATTTTGAATATGACAATTACATGGTTTCCTATGCAGACAATAACAAATTGATGAAGAATGGCGTCACATTCATCATCAAAAGAACATATCATCGAATTGGTGAGTGGAGCTACTGGCTGACGGGAAGAGAGGGCATATGCACAGGAGCGCCCACACCTGCAGATAACACCCACGTGACCTGGACCAGATGACTGGATGATTGGAGCTCAACCAGGAGAGGAAAGAAAAGGGAAAAAAGAAAGAAAAAAAAAAAAAGAGTGAGCTGATACAGTCTGATGAACTTGACCTATACCTATGGAGCAGCGACTAAAAAGAGGGAACAAATCCTCACAGCAAGAAACATTCACACACACACACACACACACAGTGGACAGAGAAGGGTAGCTGGGACATTGGATACTCAAATGGGGA